TTATTTACCCTATGGGCAAAAGAATGGATGACCCTTACAGCTTGATCCCAGGAAGGAGGCCAACAAATTCATTGACAATACTACTAGTACTAGTAGTACTATAATGTTTCCAGTTCCAAACTGAAATTGTTAGCAAAGCAAACTCAGCACCATTAAGGAGTTGTAGGTTTGGACTTCTTGATCTATTGCTGTTTGGAACAAGGAGAACACAAGGACAAGAGTAGTTGATTAGTATTGTTGGATTTGATGAGATCATTTGTAGTGGAAGGGTGTTGCTGAAGAGTTCAGGAGAGGAAAATGGGTTGTTGGCAAGAATCTCAGACGGGGGAGGACCTGGTGGATTGTTGACAAGAATCTCAAATGAATCTTCTCTCCTTCATAGTGCACCTGACAACAAGAATGTTCATTTTACAACAAGCATTATTCTTCTGGATTTTGAAGCAATGGACAAGGAAGGGTCTCTCAAGTTTTTCTGTGATGGACAAGTGGTATTACAATACGCCAAACCACCAGGAGCCCCTGTCTGTACTACTACTACTAAGAAAATCAAAATTGAGATTTCTATGAAGAAATAGATTGAAACAACTTGTGTAGACATGGAAAACCACCAGGTGAAGAACAAGAAGCCTCCTACTACTAGTACAACTTGCAACAGCACAGTGTGAAATGCAAAAGGATCAACGACAATAAGCAGGGTTGTAGTACTACTAGTAGTATCATTCAGAAAGTGAAACAAAGCAGAGGGTACAATTTTAATCATTTTTTCTTGTACTTAGCATTGTTGCACAATAATTGGTATTTTTTGGTACTTCTTATTCTTACTTCTTGTTCTTCTTTGTTCTTGTCCTCCTCCTCCTCTCCTCGTCCTCCTGCTTGCTGTTTGTTACTCCTCCTTATTGTTCATCCTCCTACTATTGCTTGGAAGTCATGATCTGGTGGGGCCACCAGTGCCACTTAACCCTTTCCCATGTAAATTAAAACATTTGTGTTCACAATGAAAATAATAAGTTCTGTCCCAAATTGCTTCGACGTTAACAATGATAAAAATAGCGATGTATCTCAACACGGGGGTTTGGCGCAGTTGGTAGCGCGTGTGCTTAGCATGCACAAGGTCGCCGGTTCGATTCCGGCAATCTCCAAAAATATCTTTTTGCCAGAAGATAGAGCTCAGCTACCACCTACGTACCAGTGCATTCCGTTCCGTGCACAAACTTTTCTAGTACGTATTCGTACCGGTGTGTTGCTGGAACGGAAGGAGAAACAATTTTTGACACCGGTACGTAACTGTTGATATTTTTTCTTGTTTTTGTGACATGAG